ACAACAACAACAACTGAGAAAAGGCGGTCGCAGCGGGTCCCCCCATGCCGCGCCACTGATGCGAAACGAAGAGGTCAACAGTAGTATGCATAGCAAAGCGAAGGGATATGCATGTGCGCCTTCATATATTGCGTCTCACCCACTCTTCCCCCCCCCCCCACTTCTATCGAACTATGTAGGCGGATACCGCCATGAGTGGGCTTGGTACCGTCATGTTCTCGAACGTTCTAGGGACAGCCAACCACGGCATTCCCGTGTCAGAGGACGAGGCCATGCAGAGCGTGACCTTCAATCAGGTCCACCGATGCAAGCGCACCACCCCATAGCTCAGGTACGGTCGGGTTAAGTGAAATCTCCGGAGTAAATGCGAGATTTTGTTCAGAAATGGTGCCCAGCGATTTGAAAAACAGAGTATGATAGAAAGTTCATGTCCGACCCGCGACACCTCTGTCCACCGAGAACCGATGAAGGTCTGCTACGGCACCTGCTGTCAGAGTCGTGCATAACATCGTCGATCACTCAGGCATAGCTCCACGCAAGTTTTGAGTAAATCGCTCCTATTTGAATTTGAACGGAGGGAACGATGGAATACCTTCTTTCGAGAGCTGTTCATTCGTTCATTGATGAGACTCAACCAAAGCGTATGCATACAATAGAAGCAAGGAACGGGGGGACCTGCAGGCAACTATTCCTCGCGATGCATTGCTTGTGGAAGGAGTAGAGAATTTTGACGCACGCGCACCGGTACTGCTGTTGGTTTGAGGGTCTCACATGTTGTGGCGTTAGCCTATAGTGCAAGACAGAGGGACGTCGCAAGGTGAACCGATAGTGTGCAATTAGCGAACATCTCATGATGCCAAGCGACAGCGCCGGGGACGAAGAGTTATTGTCCTTGAAATGTTAACGCCGCTTCCCTGTGGTTATGACGCTTGAACTTATTAACCCCATGCACGTTTTTACAGCGAGGATAGCTGATGTCCTGTTCGCGCTCCTGCTTGCTGTTTCCGGCGAAAATTCCAGGCCATCTACTGTCACCCTTGCTCTGGTGCATCCATCCATCCAGCCCCTTGCCCGCTCAGCACCACTCCCCCCCCCTCACGGTATGGATTGGCATCGTTCGAAGGTGCTCGAGCAGTACGTCCTCACGGATATCAAGACGAGGATGGGCACTACAGGCTACACTTCGGTAACAAGAGCGACCCCGACCACGACGGTATTGCCGTACCTTCCCCGTGTGCGAGGCTTTTTTCGAAAAGACGTTTGCTGCGAAGGGCGGCGGCCGTGAAAAAACTTGGACGTCATCAGCGACATGTACGTTGCCTTTGTTGATATGTGAACTAAGCTCTATGGGGCTGAGGGTATTTGTTGTCTTTAGCGTTTTCTTCTATATCCCTATCTCCCCTGGTGTACTGTCGGCAATTTGTCAGGCCGATAAGCGCTCATTGGACGTGCAAGCTCTGTCGAACGTCCAACACTCTGGTTTATTTTGTTCCCGACGCGTTTCCAGTCTTTTAAATCATTTTCCCACATTTTCAGCGTCCCCTGAAGTTGCTTCTAGGCAGTCGACGCGCTGGTGGTTTGTCGCAAGCTATTTATGTATGAACCCGTGACGTCAAACAAACCGACGTTCACATGGAACGCTATTTGTTCTTTGTTTCGTGTCTCAGGTCCTAGGAGAGCTTTATGCGGTTCGGCTTGGAATACGTTGGGCCGATCCTCTCCACCGAGAGTATTGATCGTCAGGAAGATGCTAAGCGCTACCTCAAGCCGTGCTTGTTCGCGGACGAGGGGGCAGGAGGTGGAGGAGGTGACCCAGGGGCGGATGGGGGTGGAGGGTAAACTAAAGATGGGGACCGGGATGTTCTTCGTCTCCGAGCGAGAAAAGCGATGGTCTTGATGACTACGCTGGCTACAAAACCTTGGCGGACACCTAAACCGTGTTGACAAGGTATGTCACGTGTCTTGTCCTTTCCAAAAATCGTGCCACTTTTGCTCCCTCTTTCGCTCTGCCTGCGATGATGTTGGATGCTTGCGTGTTTCTTGTCGTGCATCAGTTATGCCCGCGGCTTCCTATAATGTACACCCTTCCTCATCCCAGCGTGTCCGTTGGCGACCCCTGATGTTTGAATGTAACTCGCCTCCCTTCAAAGTAGTTCTCCGGGGTGCGTAGCTTATCCTCGTCTCTGACGTATTCTACGACCTGCGGTTATGCTGTCGGTTTGTGTGTCCCCCCTCATGCCTGCTTGCAAATATTATTGTTGACAACGTACATCTGTCAGCTATACCAAGAACTATACTGCAGCAAAGGGGGAGAGCATGCCCTCCATTTCTCGAAAGCCCACTTTTACCCTCCTCTCACACTTCAATATTATTTCGCTGCTGATCGGTAACCTCCAGGTCGAGTCGCCGGGGCCTCCGCTGCAACATCGTTCAAAGCGTTTCCTCGGGTCCTCATGACGTTCACAACGGGTGGAAGCTTTGACGGAGGAGGCGGAGAAATATCCCGCTCGCCATGTCTCACAGCTTTTTTTTTTAATCATATGGTGCTATGATACGCTTTTTGCTCTCGCTGGTGCATGAGGGCGCCTGGCGCGGGATGAGAGCCAGGTGTTTTCTTACTGTGTCTGCAAGGGCGTTTGGAATCTGTCGCTGCAACCTCTTGGCTTCGTCCGCGCCCTGTTTTGTTTGTGCGAATTGTAGCTTTTTTGGGGGAGGGGAGAGGGGAGTTGTTTCGATGGTGTTGGGAAAGTAGAGAGGTCTATTTCTGCAGTCTCTGCATGGTTTTTGGAGGACACCGCTGTCACAGCTCAGGCAGTGACGTTTTTTCTTGACTAGAGTTGGTTGTATAATTTGGGACGGCCAGGGTGGGAGGGGGTTCTGTGTTTCGTGTCGGGAGAGACGGTCGTTTCTACCTGTGCGTTTGGACAGCACTGCTGCCGCTACGTGTAGCTGTTGCCTCCGGCTGAGTTGTGCTTCCTCACAACAAACAAATGTAGTTTGTTGCGGGGATTGTGGGTCGTCTCCATGATCGACGTCGCTGACGGTCATGGGCCAGGGCATGCTGTTGTTGTGGGGAGATATCCAATACACAGAACGACGTTCGAAAGGGTATGTATGTATTGTTTAAATTTGAAGTGCACCTTTTATAGTTCTCGCTTTACATGTCGTGCAACTTGGGATGTTGACGACCCTGGGTCGAGATGATAAGCCGCGGGCGGAGATGGGTTTATGCTAGAGCTGGCAACATGCGTATGATGCATGGGCACGGGATGTCGTTGTTTCAGGAGTTTGCTCGGGAATGTACCGACGATAAAATTGTAGTGATTCGAATACAGGGGGCGAAAAAACAAATAAAACATGAACAAAAAAAAGACGTATTGCAGGGGAAATGAACCCGCCACTACGGTGTTGAGCACTGCTGTTTGTTGTAGACCGGCCGCATCTTGCGCAACCTCTATGAGAGGGTACGCATTGCAATACGCAACCTGCCCCCTACCGGCTTGTGCGCAACGCGCCAACTTGAAAGAGAGGGTACACCTTGCACGATTACCGGCAACCTGCCCCCCAACTGGCTTGTGCGAAGCGCGCCAACCTGCAAAAAAGGGTACACCTTGTCATACCATAGGCAACCTCCCCCCTAACCGACTTGTGCATGGCGCGCCAACCTCCAAGAAAGGGTCCACCTTGCGCTGCCATCGGCAGCCTGCCCGCTGTCCAGCTTGTAAGCAGTGCACCAACCACAAGAAATGGTACACCTTGCGCCGCCATCGACAGCTTGACCCCAGTCCAGCTTGTTAGCAGCGCATCAACCACCAAGAAAGGGTACACCTTGTACTACCATCGGCAACCTGCCTCCTATCCGACTTGTAATAGCGCATCAACCACCAAGAAAGGGTACACCTTGCACTACCATCGGCAACCGCCCCCTATCCGGCTTGCAAACAACGCGCAACCCCCAAGAAATGTATACCTTGCACAACCTGGCCATCGTTGCATTGCAAGGATTACCCAAGGTGGAGAGGTTGCAACTCGTGCCAAAATAAATCTCGATTCAGGTTGGCAAAAGTGCCCTTACAACCCGGTCTGTTGGCCACCCGTGCAGTCTCGAAAATAGATCGAGACTGGCGAGCTAGTGCCGCCCTGCATGTTGCAGTCGGTTCACTTGGGATCGGGCGGATTTTGGGGGTTGGTTGTTTTCTTCTTGCTCTGGGTGTTAATGAGTTCGTCTTTACCCGACCGACCGTTTCCGGTTGGTTGGGTTGAATAAATTGGGTTGGGTCGGGTTGGATTGGGTCGGGTTGGCGGGCTGGGTTCGGTCTCGGGGGGGTTGGGTTGGGTTTGGTTGGGTTGGTTTTGGTTTGGTTTGGTTTGGTTTGGTTTGGTTGGGTTTGGTTGGGTTGGGTTGGGCTGGGGTTGGGTAGGGTAGGGTTGGGTCGGTCGGTCGGCCGGGCGGTCGATCGGGCGGCCTTGGGCCGCCTTGATCGATCGCGCCGCCGTCGCTCCGTCGATCGTCGCCGTCGATCGCCCTTGTACTCTATCTAGTACGAGGCGGTCGACACATGCTACATTGGAGAGACACACGCAGACATGCAGAGCAAACAAACGACGAACTGCTTGCTGTGCCGCGGCGCCGCGGCACACTGAACAGCCACCACGAGCGGACAGCCCCCTCCAAATATGGTCTGCATCCTCCGATCCTCCTTTCACAAGAATTAAGGAAAAATAAGTACACACACAGAAAGACTACCCATTCGAGATATTATATACCCACAGCAGTCGAACGGTATAAGCCGTCTCATAAACTTACATTTTACAATACATTCCCTGTTTTACTGGGTCAACAAGAAGCTATAGAAGCTATTCGTCTACACCAGGATATTTCTGAGACTTTTCCATTTTTTTACAAATATTTAATTTTAGTTTTTCGTGATGATGATGTGAATGGATGAGTGAGCTGTGATGGGTGGGCAGGTGGGCAAGTCGAACCACACCTTTTGCAAGTACCTCTTGGATGCCAGCGAGGCGCCCGCAGCCGAGATTCTCTTTCCGTGGGTGTGCACGTGATACCCTCTCTTGGATCTGCTGCTGAGACCATGGCGGGTGAGTCCGTGTGGTAGAGAGCGAGAGCACACCGCTGTGCTACGGCGTGATGGTCCCCCCGGGCACCCACGAAGCGTGGTTTTATATTTCTATGCGAAAGAGGCAGATTGTAGCATAGGTTGTGTTTGATGTACCGAGCCTGCATGGCCTTGGGCCGCGAGCTATGCTCTCATGGTAGGGCAACATCCCGCATTGATGGCTTTCCTGCGTAGGCCTGAGGAGCAGCTCCTGAGACTCGGGATGATGTTGGTCGGGATGTTAACCAAACGCTCTTTCCACGGACGGACAAACTCAAGGCGCAAAAAAAACACGGCAGTGTGGTGTTCTTCATGCATTTTTTCTATAGGGGTTGCAGCTGTGCCAAGCCAAGGGCGAGGGACGGCGTTTGAGGCCGTGGCACATCAGATTGCCCTCTCTCTCTAAATCCTTTTCTTCTCCGCCCTTGTAGCAGCAACCTCTCTCTGCTCTCTGCAGTAGTACCGTTACAATTGTTTTTTTTTTAGATTCTTCTTTCCTAACAGAATGCAGCCGCACCGCACCTGTTCACAATCACAGCCCCGAAGAAATAGAGGTGGTACCGCAAAGGATCGGGTTAGCATACACTACACCGCCGTCCTGGTGGGATCACAGCGTTGTCTCTCGCTAGCTCTCTGGCTCTGAAAATCGAAAAGACTAGCAGAGTAAAAGTTACAACCCACGGCTGATGGCTATATCAACCTTTCAACAGACAAGCCACCACACCACCCTGGAGCTTTGAAAATCGGTCCACGGGGTGTGATATCTTATGCAACCTACGGTACCCCGCTGATTTGCCACGGATTCGACCAAGAGACAGACCTCTCACCACATCACCACAGAGTTCTCCCTCCATGATTGTCGGATCGTCACCAGAACTTGAAGGCTGTACGCACCATACCTGTAGGCGTCTTTGAAGCTAGTGGTGACTGCTGTGGGGTCTGTGTGTGCTGAGAAATGCCCATCCATGTGATGAGCAAAAGTAACAATCCGTATGGAGAATCCGTCGAGGATTCTATACAATAGTTTGGTAACATCTGATGGTTTGAGGTGCTGCTGTAAGTTTCGCGCGGGGGGATTGCTTGCTCCTCGCAGGACACCCCCAGAATCTGGTGTCCGTGGTGCATCGGCTACTGCTGCCGAAGATTGGTGTGCTTTGTGCCCGGGACTACATAGTCTACGAAACACACGCAGCAGCACCATCAGTGTTCTGGCAGCAGGTGGTAAGCTGCTGTAAAAAGGTACAACACACTGCTGATTTCTAATTAATTGAAGTTGCAGCTGTGCGAGCAGCAGACAACAGCAGTAGTAGAGTTTCCCGCCGGAATCATCGGCACTGCTAAGCTACACGGTGTGAGCTGTGCTATTCAGACGTGATGAACGATGGTAAGCTTCTGAGATGAGGCTTTGGCTGTGCAACTGACGAATACTTGCCTGCACACTGCTGCACAGGGAAATATTTTTCGATGTACCACAGCAGCAGTTCGCGGTACACATAGATACATAGATACGATATTGAATCTTTTGTAGCGTGTTTAGCCTATATAGCCGCCGGCGATCGACCCGTAAACCCATTTACATACATACGTGTGACCCTAATCCCACCCCCACCTAATATTGGTTCGTCTGGTGTGTACATTGGGAAGAATGCGAGGTTGCTGATTCACTTTGCAGGCACATTCAAAAAGAAAGACAAGTCAAGTACTACAACCTGGTAGTTTTTATCCTTCAGGTGGATGGTGGCATGGGCTGCCGCTTCCCCCCGATCGGACCCTATTTAGTCTATACGAAGTAGGTTCCTGTGCGTATGCATATGCTGCTGCACGTATCCGTACCGACAGCAATCGTGTCAATGGTATTTGGACCCTTTGCCCGAGATGCCATTTGGGCGGGTGCATCGTTCTTGCAGAAATGCACCAATGAATCACCCGACTAGTCTGCACGGCTGCTGCTGAAGAACTGCTCCTCCTATTGTTCCGAGTTCATCATGCGCAGCGGACGTTGACTATTGATTGTGAAGACTACGCTGATAGAGACTAAAGGTCCAATCGCTGCTAGTCCTGTAACAGTAGACAATTAACGGATTTTTTTGTTTTGCAACACTTGTTCCTTGCCTGTTATATAGCTTTTTTTTATCATACATCATCCAACGCGCGCCTCTGGAGAGTGGGCTCATGAGAGCAAGTAGTAGTGCAGCAGTAGTGTTCATCATGGCGTGATGCCAAACGAAAGTAAAGCAGTGTTGGTGTGAATAAACCTGCCAGCTGCCATCAGTGACTTTCCCAGGCTCGAACAGCTCGCACAGCTGACGGCTTGTTTTCGACTCGAATAGCCCAGCGAACCTCAACGAAAATAATTTTTATAGTTCATTTACAAGTACTGAAAAGACTCCACCACATCCCGTTCGACTGAGGGTATATCTCGAATGGGTAGTCTTTCTGTGTGTGTTTTTATTATTCCTTAAATACATCTGTAGACCATACAGCTTACGTGTCTCGTTCGAAGTGAGTGTTGCCTCGGTTGACTACGAAAAAATCAGTTACGATCGATCAAGATCGTTGGCAGGAGAGCCCTTCAAAAACAACACATGTACAAAAAGGCAAACCCATTAGACCACTCTGTCAGTCAGTCCGCGAGCCTTATAAACAGCAGAAATAGAAGAGTTGTTTATCCGTGTTGGGGGGTGTTCTCAATAGCCATTCGCCAGTAGATCATTGACCTCCCTACCAGGGGGTGGGGGGGGGTGTACTTATTGTCGTGCATGCCGTAGTCGTTAGACCATTGACCTCGCATCCCTACAAAGCCGGGACGGAGCACGCCGGGTTCTCACCGGACCAGGCTCTCACATCACCAAGCGCGAAGCGCCGTGAGGTATTCGGCGAGTCACATGAAGGGTGCGCTGCATCCTGCTAAGGGTGTTCGGCATCTTGTGCTTACTTCCTTGCTTACGGATGACAGCTGCGTAGTGCTTTCACTTCCAGAGACAGTTGGAAGCGCTGTGTAACTGCCTCGGGGGTGCTTGACCATTTCAACACAACGTGCGATCATCCCCTTTGCGCGGAGTGAGGGTTCTCGACCCCGCACAACATGATCTACTCGACCACCATTCATGGTTACCGAAAAAAAAGGCAAAAAAGGGCAAAAAAAAAAAGCGGTCACCTGGTTGCCGAGCTCACAAAGTGATTGGCTTGTTTTACAACATCGCTGCCAAGCGACGAAAACCCAACCCCGATGGCAAACACCGGGGGGGGCGGCCTGTTTTACAACGTGGTTGCCAAGCGACGAAAACCCAATCCCGATGGCAAACATCGTTGCGCTACGGGGGGGGGGTGGGGTACTCATAGTCGTGCATGCCGTAGTAGTTAGACCATTGACCTCGCATCACTACAAAGCCGGGACGGAGCACGCCGGGTTCTCACCGGACCAGGCTCTCACATCACCAAGCGCGAAGCGCCGTGAGGTATTCGGCGAGTCGCATGAAGGGTGAGCTGCATCCTGCTAAGGGTGTTCGGCATCTTGTGCTTACTTCCTTGCGTACGGATGACAGCTGCGTATGACTTAATTTATTTTCTGGTGCTTTCACTTCCAGAGACAGTAGTAAGCACTGTGTAACTGCCTCGAGGGTGCTTGACCATTTCAACACAACGTGGTGCGATCATCCCCCTTGCGCGGAGTGAGGGTTCTCGACCCCGCACAACATGATCTACTCGACCACCATTATGGTTACCGCCAAAAAAAAACAGAGGTAAAAAAACCCCCGGCAACCTGGTTGCCGGGTTCACGAAGTGAACTGGCTTGTTTTACAACGTCGTTGCCAACCGACGAAAACCCAACCCCGATGGCAAACACCGGGGGCGGCGGCATGTTTTACAACGTCGTTGCCAAGCGACGAAAACCCAATCCCGATGGCAAACACCGAGGGGGGGGCTTGTTTTACAACGTCATTGCCAAGCGACGAAAACCCAACCCCGATGGCAAACACCAGGGGGGGGGGGGCTCGTAGCACATTCTAGGTGATCAGCGAAAAGACCACTCCATTGATCATGATTATTACTTTATTTTGTCGTACCATGGAGGACGCAGGATCAATTGAACGTTGTGCTCTCGTGGTTGTAGCTCTGCGGGGCGCGGACAAAGCCGAACTTTAAGGCTAACAACTTAGCAAGAGCCCACCCGGCCCTCCACGTTATTCCTCTTTCTCCTCAGAAACCCCCCGGCCACACGGTGGCAATCAGGAGGAGGAGCTAGAAGAATACACCACAAGCGCTGGCAACAATTGCCAGTATGGTTGGTACATGATGGGGGCCGCGGTGTTCCTCTCCCTGGTTGCGGCTGTGGCACTCTCGGGCTCTCTGGGCGAAACGCCACCGATCGCTGCAACGACGTTGGAGGAGTTCCAACGAAGGAAGGCGTGGGACGAGGGGGCCACAACCGGCGGGGGTTATCGTCGCCGGAGAAGAAAAAGGCGTTCTCTGTCGGGCGAGGCTTCTGGGCAAGGTGTCCCGACGTGAGTATGAGCTTCGTGACAACAAGGCATGTTGTTGTTGTTGTTGTTGTTGTTGTTGTTGTTGTTGTTGTCTTTACATTAAAAACCGTTCCGTTCTCTCTACCCAGTACCTTATGTTGTCCGTAATACTACTTGTAGTCAAACACTTACGCGTCGATTCCCGCGGTCACGGGCCAACTTACCCGAGAATGGCATACTAAATACCATGGACCGGGTCGGAACTTACTTTCCCATGGACGTGTTGCTTTGCGGTGCTGTTTGAGAGGGGTGTGTTTTGTCCCGGTGAACACACCCCACCGGTAACTGTCAGCTGTATCTCTCACTCCTTGGAGGAAGACGGTAATGGCCTGCCCTTGGGTCGGCCGCAAGAATAGGCGGCTGGTGTTGAATCGTCTCTGATATTACTTCCGAAATCCCTTGCCCAGGGATTAATCTGTCGGCACACCACAACCACACACGCGAAACCTAGGGATGAGTGAAGCGTAATTATCCGGAACGAGGACGTTTTTGTTGTTTATGTTGCCTAGGTTGTCGCTCCCTTGACAGCTTGCCAAGGCGGAGTTTGGGGGGAAATATACTAGTGTAAATGTAGGTGTTTGGTGTTCGACCGTTAGTCAAAGTGCGACAACCGACGATGTATTTGCTCAAAGATGTGATGCATGACGAAGTGGATTGAAAAGGCGGGAAGTGATATCGATAGGATAGGGAAAACATTTTTGAGACACCTTTGACAAAGTAGGAACAAACGATTGGCCCTCAGTGAGATCAGTCCTCTGGGCGCAACGCTCCGTCATCTCGAGGACGCGTGGTCAATGGTCTAACCGCAAAGGCATGCAAAACATAAGAGTACGCCCCCCCCCCCCCCCCCCCCCGGGCTCCCGCCCG